TGAATTCAGAAAGAGAATTCATACTTTTATAAGATAAGAAACCAGAAAAATAAATTTGTGGTAAGGCTTCTTGCTAAGAATATCCTTTCTCCTTATTCGAGTCTTAAGCTAAACAAAGAATATTGACACGAACATAATATTTGATTAGCTAGAATTTAGGCAGATATTATGGTCGGAAGTAGTGCTCTTAGAAGATCAGATGATGTCGTAGAAAAATGCAATATAAATAGGGCAGAAGTTGCATGCCACAATTTTGTAGCATAAAAATGTTCTGACCATAAATACTTGTACTTTGGGGCTGTAATATACTTCACTTTCTGATATGAAACCATTGTGGATTTTGTTGGTGAATGGAAAAATTGGCAGAGGTTACAGTTTGTAAGTGCACCCTAATACTGAATGAGTGGCCTAGTCTTGTTTCTCATCGACGCCCTATCAACGCTCGATCAACCACCATTTGAAGCCATGTAAGTGTTGGGAAAATAGGCTTTCCCACAAGTGTAAATCAATGGAAGCAATATAAATAAAATAACAGAAAATAAATAAGCACACAAGATTTACGTGGTTCCCTCAAATAACTTGAGGTACATCCACGACGACCGGTAGGTCAGTTTCTTCCACTATCACCAAATCAGATTACAAAGTGGCCAAAAGGCATAAGCCTTACAAACACACCAAGGTGTAAATCACAAGAGGAAAATACCTCACAAAATAAGTGAATCAAATCTCCAAGAACAAACCGCAAGAAACCCAAATATCAAGTGAAGAAATGTTACCCACTTGAAGAACAAATTTGCAGATTTTTCTGGCACCAAAAAGGAGAAGAAGAAGGCTGAATTTTTGTTGAACCAAAGACTGCCGAAAATATGTCTTCTTGCCAAACCAATAGAGAAAAGATGAACCAAAGAAAATGACAAAACTAATAGTCTTTTGGTGGCTGCCAAATTTCTTTTAACTTGAAGACTCCAAACCAAGTCTTGGATAAGAGTCATACATGGGTAAGCCACCAAAAAATTAGCAAATTGATGAGTCCCACAAAGGAGGGAAGCTCAACAGTAAGTAGGATCGGAGCATAGTTGTTGCCTAGGGAAGCCATGGCTTACCCGGGGTTCTAAAAAGCCTTGCTTTGCTCTTTCCCTGCTCATGATCATAGCCACCACAATCTGAACATAATTCACCACCCAACATCTTTTAAAAACCTGAAATCACCCCCAAAAACACATCACCATTTATCATCTCCGTCGCTGTCCACCATCTAGGTCCACCCCACAAACAACCCACCACCAACTAACATACACTTTTTTCTGATTTGGGTTTGTTGGTTTGGCTAGTATTGTGGATGTTTGGCTTTGAAAAAGTTTCTGATACCAGCTTCTGGATTATTTGTGGCCTTTTCAGAATGGACATTTAGAAGTACTGTTAGTCTTAATTATGCAGGATTTGCCTTTAAATCAGCAATATAGCTAAACGCATATAACAACGATGAAATAAACTGGCAAATGCTAATTACAAATTGAAATAAAAGCTGTCAAACAAGGCAGGAAAATAAACATCTGCTTGAACGAATGATTGAACGGTGTAACAAGCAAGCCTTAAATATTGTGAAAGAGGACAAGAAGTTCTCCAGCTTAAATATCTTTTCCCTTTGTCCGGTAGTTTAGAAGATGGTTAAACAAGCATAGCCTACAAGTTCTCTAGCTTTACAATTGTTACAGGAAGAACCATGCCCCTAGAAACCAGATTAATCCATTCTGTTTTTTTTTTTATTATTTATCTACAATGCTTTACAATAGCAAGGAGCACCAAGAATCCTAGCGAAAGCTACACTAATACAATTTGCAACAATACTATGCTTATCACCTTTCTGTATCATTTTTCAGCATCATCTTAATATGAAGCATTAGATTAATGGGTCCCATTAACTTCATTGAATTTTCAATGGCTAGAATCATTCTACATCAGGTGGTGCACAAAAATGGTGTTCATATGATTATTGTACAATTTAACTCAAAATAACTAAAATAAAAATCATTGTCTCCAGTTTTGAGAGTGATCCATGCCACTTACTGATGGGTCCCTCCTGCAATTAACATAAACGTTGTATCGATTTTTTTGAAAACAAAATCGATACAATGTCTGCTTGGAGAGGATGAGATTCGATTAGTTGCTTGAAAAAGATAGAATCCATAAATGGCTGCATGGAGAAAAAACAAAACGAACGATGTTGACGTTTCTAAAACTGAAATCGATACAATATCTTCTTGGATATGATGAAATTCGGTGGCTGCTTGAAGAAAATAGAATTCGTAAATGGATCAATGGAGAAAAAACAAAATGTTGGTTGGCAAAAATATTTATGGAATCCTTTCAAAATTCAAACGGTTAATAATCCATTAATTTAGGAAACCAACTATAATAAAACATAATCAAAAAACAAAGAAACTACTAAGTCTTGCATAAATTCAGTAAAGGACAATGATATACTACAAAAATATGTAAATTTGAAAAAATGTATATGGTTACCAAATCTGGGCATATCCTTTAAGAGAAATAAGTTATGTACAATGTACCCTTTCCTAATTTTTCCTTTTTTAATTTTTCGGCTAACCGTTTATCTTAAAAAACACTAGGTTTAAAATTTTTAGGTAACTATTTCTGTTAAAAAAAAATATTAGAACTCGTTAAATTTTCTCTTTAATTACCTAGAGAATATTAATCTCTAATTACACATAACGGATCTAAAATTTATAATTGTTCAAAATTATGGTGGGACCAATAAAAAAAGTTTAAATTAATGAATTAATGTGACATTGGGAAAATCGGTTGCTCAATCCATTCAATTTAATTTTTTATTCAAAAATTTGATTAAATTACATTTTTTAAGTCGATTTAGTATTAACATAGAATTGAAACTTTATTATAAATCTGTTCTCCTTCTCACAAACTATTATTTTCACCCTAATTGAAATTGCAGTCACCCATGCATTGTTCAATTGTTAAAAATTGATGAGTTCAAAATCGATTGGGCTAGGCCCAATAAAAATGAACCAAGAGGAGCTCAAATTATCAGTACCCAAGAAAGAGCCCAAGGCCCAAAGCACCAAAAAGGGTCCAAGTCACCAACGCTTGAAGGACACACCCAAGGGGGCACCGCCCATGGCCCAGGTGCCGTCCAAGAGTTGGGCTCCCTTGTCTCCTCTTCGTCATCCTCACTTTGCCACTCCAACTCAGTCCGGCCCAACTCTGGATCCTCCTTTCAAAGAAATAAGAGCATAGAATATTGAGATACGAAGATCTAATTTTACCATAATTGTATTTACTAAAAAGTAGTGACCGCTTCACCAAACCTATATAATATAAATCCTCTCCACATAGATGACATGACCTTTGAGACCTCTCTATACACCAAGTATCTCTCTCCCAAAACTCTATAATTCTCTTGGAGAAAACTCTCCGATGACTTTTATTCATCAATATAGATCTTCGACAATCATTACTATTACCAAGCGTAGAGTAGGTCACCCAAACCGAACCACTATAAATCTGTGTGCTTGCTATTATTCATTGTTTTGTCATTGATTGTCTGCTTATTACTCATTAATTACATTTTTACGTATACTCGACTGTTGTCTTGCATAATACCGATTTATGCTTCATAAGACGGTACTCACTTTTTATCTTCTCCTCATTATTTTTTTCTTAAATTTCATTACTTTCTATTTTTTTAAGTTAATTTTTGGATTCATTTAGTATGCCACATGGATTGATTTGATTGGTTTGGTACTGAGGTGGCATATCTATTTTTCTTGTAATAAACAACATTAAATGAAAAAAAAATACCTTTTTTTTTTTATCAAGTGTATTTATATATATTGGCGATTAGACAATTTTCCCCATTTACTATGAATAATTCCCAAATCCCAATTATTTTCCGAATCCGGAATTTCTTCACGGGGCAATTCAAACCGACTCGTGAACTATATACATGGGTCAAAAGCTTAACCCGAACCATTAAAAATAGCGGCAAGTTCATACTGTTGTCGGCACTATCCTCGCATAGGAATCCAATTCCGTCTCCGCCTGCTCTCTCTACAACCTGAAGAGAGAGAGAGAAAGAGACGGTGCGACATTGCCCTCTTCGACATTGATTGTCTCTCTCTAACAGCGCGGTGTAGGTCATTGATCGTCTATTGATTTGTTGGTCATTGATTTGTGGAATAAAACATGAAACAGTACCGTTTAGGACACTCTATTTAGACTTTGGAGAGAGAAATTTGGGAGTGAACTCGGATTTTTGATGCTTTGGTTCAATGCTGTTAGATGATTAATGCTGATCTTGACAAATTCATCTAGTTAGGGGAAGATTTGTGCATTTTAGTAATTATCATCATTTTTGCGGTAGAACAAACCAATCTGGCAACTGGGCTTGGATTCAGGCGTAGCTTCTAAAACAGTAGGAAACTTTGATTTCATCCTTGCTAAATAATTTTGTTGCCCTATAAAGAGTGGCGGCCTTGAGATAGATCTTGTGAGGGTGATTATTACTATTATGTTGCTTTCCAAATGGTTGTGGATGTTTGTAAACAAAGTATTGAGGCTTTGGACAAAAGTTCTATGTATGCGATTAGCAGTAATATTTGGAATTCTCATGTGAAAACAGTCATAGAGGAATGGGTATGGGTGTTAATTTGTGTCCACAATGCTAGTAATGAATTGGAAAACTTGGGTATTGGATAGATGAGGCTTGTTCATCTGTCATATTCTCTTCCCTAAATTTGCATTTGCCCAAATGAATTCGATTGCAGTGTTTCCTTCACTAGTAGCAGGTTAATTATAAAAAATAAGTACCCCTGAAAATTTTCAGTTTATGGATGTAGCTTAATTCTTTTCTCTGCGTATCAGTAATCTAAGCTTGATGTTGGTCAATGGCAGGTCTGCTACCAGTGGATTCTTTGTATNCTTTTCTCTGCGTATCAATAATCTAAGCTTGATGTTGGTCAATGGCAGGTCTGCTACCAGTGGATTCTTTGTATGTGGATATTCTAATATCCATCTGTAGATCACCTGAATTTCCTGGTGATGAATTGTTTGAGGAAATCTCGAGAGTGTTGAAGCCTGGTGGAGTGATTTTGATCCACCTGACTTCTCAGTCTGCTACAGGGAACATGGTAATGTAACAATTATCCCTTTTCTAACTTGTTGGAAGATCAAGTTATATTAATCTTACTGAGTTCTTCTTGCAGACAACTCTCTTCTGTTGAGTGCAAATTACTGTTGGCAGGGTTTTTGGATGTACAGGTTGTTCTAATGACACAAGTTGTACCATCTGAAGTTGTCCAGTCTTTTGGGGTTAGTATCTGTTCATTTTTAGTTGCCAACACTTCCCTTTCCTTATCCCCCCCTCCCCTCTCCTTCCCCCATTTCTTCTCTTTATGATAGAGAGTAATGAACCCTAATGGGTGAATGTTAGGATGAGTGAGAACCATGATCGAGAGATATTCACTTCTACCAGATATGCTTTGTATGATTGTTGGATTGGGTAAAGTGAGGAAAGTTTAATGTAAATTATTTTCTTACAAATGGTCTCTAATGTACTTCTAGAACTAACTTTTTTCTTGCATTGTAAAGGACTTCGGTTTATGGAATGCATTGAACACAAGTCTTAATATTTGATTTTTTTCCCCCGAAAGTGGAAATAGTAGGGATTTTAAAACCACGGCTTTATATCACTGATAATCTCCCTTTGTTCTGATGGATTGGTTGATGTGTATCCGTTTATTTCACCAACTTAATTTGATTTTTTTCCTAAACAGATTACGGCAAAGAAGCCTTCTTGGAAAATTGGTTCATCCTTTATTATCAAGAAAGCCTTGACAAATTTACCCAAGGTCCATATTGATGATGACGTGGATCTGATAGATGAAGATACCCCTTAACTGAAGAGGATTTGAAGAAACCCCAGTTGTTACCTGGAAAGACAAACAAGATTGAGTACAACTGCGTCTACTCTTATTGAGTGCAACATTGTTCGGATTTTTTGGCTCATGGAAAAACTAGATTAAGTGTCACTGCTTGTACTCTTATTGAGTGTAACATTATTGGGAGTTTTTGGCACTTGCTGAATGAGTACACACTTGCAATTGGTGATTGTGAGGTTGGAAGCACAAGGAAAGCCTGCAAAAATTGCACCTGTGGACGGGCTGAGGTAGAAAAGAAAGTGGAGAAGCTAGGACTGGCAATGGATGTTCTGTAATACAGCACAGGAACAAAAACCAAAGCCTAAAAGTGATAAGCAACTAAACTAGTTTTGACAGTAGTCAATCATATATATTGTGGATGCATATAATATAACTTTTGACACATGTATCAAATTAAAACTAATAATTAAGCAAATGCAATTGAACATAATATAAAACAATGAAAAATAAATTAAAAAGTTCTAGCCTTTGAGAGTCTGTGAGGCATGTTGGAACCTTGTTCTAAAGCAACTGAGTTTCCCTACGTGAAGGTATTAGCAGACTGCAGCGGCTCCAAAATACAACTAAAATTCAAAAGCAAGAACTCTTCAGGGTTCACATACACTGAAGAGTGAGGATGAATCTGATTTTACTCGAGTTATCCGAAAATTAATATAATCAAAATAATCAAGTGCAGTAGTAATCAAAAAAGAAAACTGAAGAAAAGGACGAACGAGAGATGGAAATGGAAGCGAGATGGAGATGGCAGATACATGGTTGTTGTCAGGTTTTCTCTATATATTAAATACTTCATTGACTTTGCTTTTATATAGGCAGATGCTTTCCCAATCGGTGGAAAGAATAAAAAAAAGGCAGTTGAAAAATGTTGTTGAGAAGGAAAAGTACACAACGGTTTGGCATGTCAAATTGGGTTGCAACTATTCAAATAAAACAAACTTAAATTCAAGTTTCAAAGTTTAACTGTCATATCTCATGAAGAATTTCTCCACATGTACATGGTATAAAATAATCCAAAACATTAAATATCTCTTAGGAAAAAGATGAAATATGGAATCATTTTTGCAAGAAAAAGAAAAAAAAAATTAATTTATTCTAACAATCCCCCACAAATTTTTTCTTTTAAAAACCAAATATATACAAATTATATTATATATAAAAGGAAAAAATTGGGCAACTATAATACTGTGTAATAGGTGTAGGTGTCTTTCGAACTTGAACCTCACTTAGTATTAACTGTTTTTCTCTGAAAGACTATAGTAATCAAAGGCTTGAACTAGACCCTTTGAATCAGAGTTAAACATGTTACACACACAGTACCGATATAAGTCATGATTCATGGGTTAGTGCTATTAAAGGCCATGCACTCAATCTTGATTCTCATGAGAATTTTTAAAGAACAACTCAATTCTCATAGTCGTGGCCTCACAACTCTCATTTAGGTGAAACCTCCAAGGGCATATGTGACCTCTACCCTGCAAGATTGTTCTTGTCTCGGTCTCATTCAGGGTAACAACCATTCCTTAATGTCACACTTTAAATGCACTTCTGTCATAGGAATGAGTAAGAGAATATCTCCTCCTAGGATATCTTCAAATTTAAGTGCTAAATAAGTCACGTAATATGAATTGTTTCTAATCATTGAACTTCCTTCATGGGGTTTCCAATCACAAAAGTTGGGTTACCTTCCTAGGTGACTTCCTTATGGGTTTAGACCTATACCTCTCGACAGTTCTAAGACGACTTTTCTTGAAAGTCCTTTTGTTAGCTGATTAGCAATATTCGATTCTGACTTCACAAAATCTAGTGAAATTATGTTGTTACTTAACATTTTCTTCACATATTTATATCTTACTTGGATATGTCTATTCATCTTTTTATTATTATGAGTTTGCTTCACAAGCTCAATCACAGCTTTATTATCACAATGCAAAGACATTGCAAGTATAGGCTTATTCAATAAAGGTATATCTAGTAATAAACTCTTAATCCACTCAGCCTCGGTACAGGTGGTATCTAAGGCTATAAGCTCTGTCTCCATTGTACTTCTAGAAATTATAGTTTGCTTTTTAGATTCCCAAAATATGGATGCCCCACCTAACAAGAAAATATAACCAGTAGTGGATTTTATATCTAAACTATCGGTAGTCCAATTCGCATCACTAAAACCCTCAACGACGCTTGTAAATCCTTTATAATGTAAAGAGTAATCTAGAGTTCCTCTAAGATATTTAAATACCCTCTCTAAGGCAGTCCAATGCTCTTTACTAGAATTTTGTGTATATCGACTTAGTCTACCCACAACATAAGAGATATCTGGTCTAAACTTATTACCCAAGTATAATAAAGATCCTATCATTTGTGAGTACTTCAATTGTGATATAGGGTCTCTATTATTTTTCTTTAAATGTATATGAGGGTCATATGGTGTCGATACTGGTTGACTGTCATAAAACTTAAATTTCTTCAACATTTTCTCTATGGTGTTAGATTGACTAAGAAATATTCCATTTCCTATTTTCTCTATTTCCATGCCCAAGATTACCTTGGCTTCTCCCAAGTCTTTCATATCAAACTTCTTAGATAAGTAAGATTTAGTTTCTTTAACTATTTCTAAATCAGTCCCAAAAATTAGAATATCATCCACATAAAGACATAAGATCACACATCCTCCAATATTTTCCTCATAATATAAACATTTTTCACTTTCATTTATTCGAAAACCATATTCTAGGATTACCTTATCAAACTTCTCATGTCACTGTTTAGGTGCTTTGTTTCAAACCATATAAAGATTTTACCAACTTGCATACCTTATATTCTTGTCCCTTTACTATAAAGCCCTCAGGTTGCTCCATATATATTTCTTCATCTACGTCTCCATTTAGAAAAACAGTTTTGACATCCATTTGATATATCACTAAATTATGGATAGAAGCAAAGACAATTAAAATTCTGATGGTAGTGATACTAGACACTGGTGAGTATGTATCAAAATAGTCTATTCCTTTTTTTTGTGTAAATCCTTTGGCTACCAGTCTAGCTTTGTATTTATCTATACTCACTCAAGTTTTAATTTTTTTCTTGAACACTCATTTATGTCCTATCGTCTTGCTTCCAGGAGGCAACTCTACTATCTCTCAAGTATTATTTTGTAAGATTGATTCAATCTCACTATTAATAGCCTCTTCCAAAAANTTGTGTAAATCCTTTGGCTACCAGTCTAGCTTTGTATTTATCTATACTCACTCAAGTTTTAATTTTTATCTTGAACACTCATTTATGTTCTATCGTCTTGCTTCCAGGAGGCAACTCTACTATCTCCCAAGTATTATTTTGTAAGATTGATTCAATCTCACTATTAATAGCCTCTTCCAAAAAGGAGCTTCTAAAGAGGACATAACTTCTTTGTAAGATGTAGGCTCACTTTCCACTAGAAAGGTGAAAAAATCATCTCCTAAATTCTTTNAAGGAGCTTCTAAAGAGGACATAACTTCTTTGTAAGATGTAGGCTCACTTTCCACTAGAAAGGTGAAAAAATCATCTCCTAAATTCTTTTCTATTCTTGGTCTTTTACTTCTTTTTAACTCTACTAGCATCTCTCTGTCTTTCCTTAAAGGATCACTATTGCTAGTTGAAGATTCATCATTGGTCAAAGGTGTTTGTTTCACTTGGGTTGGTATCTTGCTTCNGGTTGGTACCTTGTTTCTAAAAGGAAATATATCTTCAAAAAATGTTGCATCTCTTGACTCTATAATTGTATTATTAGATATTCCATTTATTTTAGAATCAATAACTAGGAATCTATTGACACTAGTATTTTGATCATATCCTATAGAGATAGTGTCTCTAGTCTTAGATCCAATTTTCATTCTTTCTGGTTCAGGTTTGGCTACCTTAGCTAAACACTCCCACACTTTCATGATACCAAGATTTGGAACTCTTTTCTTCCATATTTCATACGGTGTTTTCTCATTTTTTTTACAGTTATTCTATTCAATATAAAACACGCGTTTAATATAGCTTCCCCCCGCAAGTTCTCAAGTAAGCCAGAACTAATTAACATTGAATTCACCATATCCATTAATGTTCTATTTTTTCTCTCTACTACTCCATTAGATTGGGGTGAATAAGGTGGAGTTATTTCATATATTATCCCATGTTCTTCACAAAAAGGTGCTATGTTCATTTAAAGTATACTCACCTTCTTTATCGGACCTATGTTTTTTCACTTTCCTCTCCAATTGATTTTCTACCTCGGTTTCATAGATCTTAAATTTATCAAATACCTCATCTTTGGTCTTAATAAGATAGATATAGCAATATTTAGAGCAATCATCTATAAAAGTCACAAAATATTTATTTCCACCTCTAGTCAATGGTCTACTAGAATCACACACATCACTATGTATATGTTTTAAGAGTTGAGTGTTTCTTTCTAAACTCTTGTGAGATTTTCTAGTTTGTTTGGCTTGTACACACACTTCATACTTATTTTTAAAATCTAATTTAGATTTAGGAATAAAATTGAGATCCATCATTCTTTTAATTTTCTTTAAACTTATATGCCCTAATCTTCCATGTCATACATTGCAAGATTCAACATTAAAAACATTGGGAGAAACTTCATTAACTTCCAACTGAACATTTAATTTGAACAAACCATCACAAACATATCCTTTTTCAATAAATAAATTATTCTTGGTTATTACAACCTTATTTGACTCCAAAGCAACTTTATATCCTTGTTGAACTAAGGATGATTCATTAACTAAATTTCTTCTAACTTCTGGAACATGTTGCACATTCTTCAAAATCAAAGCCTTCCCAGATGTTATCTTTAATTCCACGTCACTAATTTCAATCACTTGTGTGACCGAATCATTCCCTAGAGATATACTTCCTCTACTTGATTTCTGATAAGTTTTAAGAAATCCATCATCAAAACAAACATGTATATT